AAAAAAAAAAAGAAAAAGAAAAAGTAAAAGAAAAAAGAGCGAAAGAAAGAAAGAAAGAATAAAAGAACAAAAAAGTTAGGTAGGAAAGGAATAGGGACTGCTTTAATAGTGGTTACTATCTTATTAAGAATATTTCTGCAACTTTCTAACAACTTGCTGCGTGTTTTTTCATTCAATGTTAGATACACTGCTTGTTTCAACGCTTGGCTGAACAGTGCAGGTGGCGTAAGGAAGCTTAAGCAGGGAGAACTACCTTGCTGACGAACTACCGCTGAACATGAGTCCATAAAAAGAATTAAATAAACTACCACTAAATTACCGCTGGCCATGAATTTTTAACATCAATTAAATAACCATGCAATCCCCGACCGAAATTCCACTCACCTTAAACTAGATATAAACGGCTAAATGAAGTGCCATAGCCCTTTTCTGGGATAGTGAACATGGTGCATTTGGTCTAGCTTGGGTACAAACATCTTTTGTTCAWYATGCCTTACATGGTGTTGTGAGATAGTGAACATGGTGCATTTGGTCTAGCTTGGGTACAAACATCTTTTGTTCATCATGCGTTATTTTGAATTTTGATATTATGATTATTTCTTCGTCTTTTATGCGGTAAAACGTCAACCCACGACACTGAAATGTTTCAACGTTCCAATTTTAAAATTTAATAACTTTTCAAAGAAGCAAAAAATCAAAARTCATTAAGAACGTAAAAATAGTAACGTTTATTATATAATTACCAATGAAATATCTATTTTTCTCTATTTCGAAAAATTGATATCTTCACACGTGAAAATAACATGTTCGCTGCGCTCACTTGTGAGAGATCTTTTCAACACTCGAAGATAAATTTCGTATCTCCGCGCGCCCATGTAATATCCTCTATTTATTTCCCGGTCCTGTAAATATCCCTGTATTCCAGCCTACGGAGAAGAACGAGGGCTACTGCTCGCAAAATGGGAACGCAATCTGCTCCCTAGCTGGATCCTTTACAAACATAGAAGTCCCAAATTCTTGAGTACATACAAAAATAGAAATACATAATTATAGCCGAGACTGAATCTGGTGGTAAATCGCGAAAAGCTGATTTTTAAGATGAGACTGTTAGGTTCGCACGTTTGTGAAATCACGCGCACGGGAGTAATAAAACACGGAAYGTAACTTTTGATAGATGCACGCGAATTCAGGTGTTTTCAAGGCAATGTAACGCATGTCAAGAAGACCAAGGTTTTCGATTGGATAAGAAGTACGTGATCTTGCGCTCTGCGATTGGTTCAACAGTTGTCGTCTATTTTGTACCGTGACCATTCTTTTTTACATTATTCAACGAGAGCCCAATTTAAATAAAAATGAAATGAGGGAAAAAATTGAAAAACAAAAAAAAAACAAAAAAATCGACTGTAATGAATTTTTATTCGAGATCAAGATAATGTACTCTATATGGAAAACCAGTAAAAATAAAAAAAAAAATAAAAAAAAATAAAGGGATTGAAAAAATTGCAAATCAACAATTATTTTCTGTTTTCGACCTTTGACTCTCCCAGTTAGAAATTTTGTCACGTGTAAACAACCCACCAACCACCGCACAGGACTATTTAGTTGTCKAAAGTCGACTGAAATCCTTCGACAGTTTTCCATTGTCGATATTTTTACAATTTTGATTTCATTTTAAAAACAAAAGATTTAACAGATTCAACAGAATATTAAATTTAGTAAATTTGCTTTAAATTTCTTTCATTCAAATTCRAAGTTTTGAGTTTTCGGAATTTCAGGAAAAAAGAGCATTTGAAAACTTGTAAACTTATGGCGAGCAGAATAGAGTAGGTGCATGTTGCGTCATTGCCGCCATCTTGGTTGACGATAACAAAGCATTCCCCATTAGCTTTTCTTGTTAGATCAAGCAAGATACAGTAGCGGCTCTTTCGTTGTTATTCATATCTCAAGGGATTTTGAGTCAAATCATTGCTCACACTCTATACTACACTCTATAAGAGGGCGGCTCTTTCATTGTTATTCATATCTCAAGGGATTTCGACTCACATGGTTGCACACGCTTTATATAATCTTACTTCTACTATAGAACGGTAAAAAGTTGCCTGGGTTCAAGCCCTGCCGGTCTTGGTGTCGTACGTGAGTAGAGTTAGTGCTTGTTGGTTCTCTCCTGTGCTTCGAGGGTTTTTCCTCAGGGTTGTCCGGTTTTTCCTCCCTCCACAAAAATCAAATTCTAAACCTGTTAGGTATTACAGGTATTACGCCGTCCACCGAGGAGTAGTAAATGCATTAGAAAAGATTAGAAACCTGTACTGTGTTCTTGGAAGGACGTCGTAGGAACGGACTGAGGGAATCCATGAAATATTAACGTAACTCGGAGGGTTTCTAATATTTCTTAACATTTTGATAATTAATAATATGGTGCTCTGCTAGCGTGGGAGCTCCGCTAATTTAACAATTAGTAAGAGATTATCGGTGCAATACATGAAAAAATTACTCAATTCTGATTGGCTTAGAGCAGTGTTGYTAAAACGTAATACAGTGCAAAAAGGCGTAATTGCCCTATTGCATATCATTAATACGCTTTTCCTCCCATAGTGGCAGTGGCAGTGGCAGTGGCAGTGGCAGTG